GTGTATCTGTGTGTATATTTTTAATGCCAGGCAGTTTGTGAGTGTGTGTTTGAGTGTGTGTGTGTGTGTGTGTCAGAGCGCAAAGCAAGATGTCAGGACATGTAACCAGCCATGTAACAATTTAAAATCAATTTGCCTCCCAAGAAGGAATTGCTCTGCAAGACATTTTTTCCCTCCGAGCGTTTACAGGACTTTCATTCTATCTAAATAGATATCAATTACATAATCGCTTTTTCTCTCTCCGCCCGGCCGCAGACTGCAAAGTTTGTCACGCCGAGCTGAGGCGTAATTGTCCCCCGCGCATAATGTTTTGTGATTACTTGTGACATTTGCAGTGCCATTGATCAAACAGTGCACAGTAGTAATGAAGACAAAAATATCTCCGAGTGAAACGAGGAGGGGCGGCGGTGGTCTGGTACTTCCTGTGAATGGTGTCAACTGAAGCAACAGTTTCATGTTGGAAACCGCCTCCTTTCCCCCAAACACGAGTCCCAAGTCAAATCCAAAACAGTTTTCTTTCCTAAATTCATTGGTGATGGATGAAAGTCTATGCCTCTCCACAGATATTCCCAAAAGAAAAAAAAGTAACTGGAAGTGTTAGCTGGTGATAATCTGAGCGCTGAAAGTTTTCCAACTACTCTCATTTTAAAAAATACACCCTGGTGTCTTTACCTTGTTCCAACCCCACTGGGTAGGCACGCACCCATTGTGTTCTCCCCAACTTGTTAAAACACCACATGGTACATTTGCATAGGATAACCAACATATAGCGAATCATTTGCATGCCTGAAAGTGCACTTGAGTAACCGTAATTACACGTGACACCAATTACTCTGTTACTTTGTATTAAATTATAATGGGAAATTCCACTAGAGAATTGGAGCCTAATTGCATCTTAATTTGCATAATTTTGCATATTAATCACATCTCAGATGAATAATAAATTTCAGCAGATTTTTTAATTTATGCATAGATCCAAAAACAAGTTGAAAAATAATTTGTAAGTGAAAAAAATCAGGAACTATTACTTAGAGCATTTGTGCTAATTTCTCTCATTACCCCACGCTCAAGTCAAAGATATCACTACTCTTGATCAACAAACGCTGTATTTTGAAATCGAGAGTTAGAAAAAGCTTCAAAAGAAAAAAAGATTTATGGAGAAACAAAGATTTTGGAAAAATCCATGCATCATTTTTACATAAAACTTTGTGGCTCTATTTAGCACACTTTCCATTACAGAGATGCCAAATGCATTCCACAATGATAATTCAAATCACTTTCTGCCTTTCCCTTTTCTCTCCTCTTTTTTTTGGTCAACACCTGTGCCGCTATTGTGTGTGGCTCCCTGCCAGCAGACACAAAAATCCAATACCTGTAGCCCAGATTAAATTCAAATTTACAAAAACAACATATTTTTAGATTTAACATTGCATCCTTTCCAGCGGAAAGTTGAGCAAGTTATTTTTATAAACATGAAAATGAAGAAGGAAAAAAACTCAAATCTGCTCTTGGAGTCTATTATTGCTTTACTGTGGAACATAAAAAAAAGATGTAATGGTGGAATCATTGCAAACAAAAAGACAACACCTTTATAATATGTATATTTATCAAGTAATGTTACCACAATGTTCCCTAACTTTCTAAAAATGAAACTGAATGAACTGTGACACAGGTTGCACGTGTCTTTTTTTCTTTTCTGGTTACATTTTCAGAATGGCTCCCAATTACAACCATGAAAAAACAAAAATTAGCATAACATTAAAAACGTATCCAACTGCGTCCATTTGGAAAATGTTGCATTGATTTCACACTCCCACATTCAAATAAAAAATAGACAGTAAAGATTTTAGACCCAGTCAAAACTTTGTGGTGCTGAAACATGTTTCTGATTTCTTGTCCTTTTAATTATCTCATGTACCTCCAGCTTTAGTTTACAATCGGTTCTAAGGGTCCCAGCCCCCTGTCATGTTAACGTGTGGGAAGTACCAACTTTCCATAAGGGAAAAAGCTACAATGTCCAATATTATATACATTTTCCCATATCTCAATCCCATTTTCAGAATCCTTCAAAGCTGTGATTTTCGTCAAGAAAGAATATATAACATCAGGTCTTCCAGAGCATCATATCTAATTAATGAAGTTGTCTCATCTTATATTGATAAACCAGTCTCCATATTTAACCTACGCTCCACCAGTGACCTGCCTTAAGCACTGTGGAGGTTTGCTCAACACGACATCTTCATGTTGTTACTCAGGAGTTCAGCTGTGGACAACAGTGCCTTTCAGTGGCACAAAAGGGGTAAGAGCTCAATAAAGACACATGGAGTGAGGTTCCGGCTCACACACCATCTCCCTGACACTGAATCACATGTATAAGACACTCTCAGCAGGGGTACAGTGTCTGCAGCAGGTCAACCTTCCCAGCCTGTAGTGTGAAATCACTAAGAAATATGTTTTAGAAAGTGGAGAAATAACATTGGCAGCCAAAGGCCAACCTTCCAAAACATCTCTAAATTGAAAGTATTTCTTCCATTTAACCTATAAAATGTGTTATGTTCAGTATGTTTTGTTTATTTTATCTCTAGATAACTGCTGATCTAACTGCTACTTAAGGGTACTAACATTTCTGGAGTACCTGGAATATAATCTGGGGAAATCATGTTATTGCTTATTCGAAATGTAAGTTATTTAAGAGTTGTGCCTGAATACAGTCACATATTAAGAAAAAGAATACCAGAATCAGATATAACAACTGCAATTCCTCCTCAGGTTGTTTAAATGTCCAAATTCCCAGATACAGCGCAGAGGGCATGACCTCAGAGCCCTGAAGCTGCAGCCATGCTGTTTTTAAAGGTGGTCGTATTTGCGGTATACATTTAGGTTTGGTTCAAGATTAAAGGTTTATACATTAGGCATATATTCTTCTGACTTGCTTGTTTAATTCCTTCTGGATTCTAAGAATACAGACTGATACGCCTCTTTTGTGATAGTTGGCGTGTGACTATGTGATCTAATTTCATGAGAGATCCCATGTCAATTATTCATCACATGTGGTCAGGCTACATTTTTTTTTTTTTTTCACATTTTCTTTTGTTAAGTATTTTATCAATCCATTTTCTTTGAGCTTTTTTTTCTCTCGTATTCTCTCATCTCATCACCTGCTTCTTTAATTATTTCCCCTAATTTCTACTCCTCTCTCTATCCTTGTTAAATGTATTGATTATGCAAATAAACAGCAGCCTGGACTCTGACTCTAATTCATTTGTGTGTTTTACTGCAAATTCTCCAACATTTAATCTGATCCAGTGTGGAAGTCGTTAATATTCTACTCCATTCGACTCGCAGATGTAAAAAGCATTCTCAACTGACACACATAATTACTATGATACATCCCGGAAAGGTTCCTGTGTCTGAGCGCAATTTCAACTAACCAAATGCTGCGCTGCTAATTATTGATAAATAAAATTAGTTGGGAAAACTTCAGGTGGGCGGCGCCGCGTGCAGGTGTCTGCCTTGTGCGTGCGAGCGCGCGCTGACGAGGGAGAGAGCGACGCTGACCTGTAATCACCGAGAACAGCGGGGAACTAATGATGTTTTGGTCTGATGATCAAATTTCACATTTTTGCACAATCATTTTGGGCACCTGTGCAGAAAACAAAGACTATGCGGCAACTGCTCGCCCTTAGGAACAACTGCTTCTGTGACTGTGTGTTTGTTGTGTGTACACTATCATTTGCTTTTTTCCTATATTCTTTTTTTAATATAACAATGCACAGACACACGACCAAAAGACAGATAAATAGATATGCATCTCCCTCTAGTGGACTCTGAAAGGAAAGGCACTTTGCTGCTTTAAAATGCTCCTCGTAAGTTTCGACGTACTCAATCATAAAGAGAGAAAGACTTAATCAGAACAAATATTGTCCTTTGAAGGCTTTTGTTTGACTTCATTTTATGCTGCAGCAGAATGAACAGAGACTACACATGAATTGTGTAACTGATTTAACTGCAAACAAGTGAGCACATAAAGTAAGGTATGAGTATGTAGTTAGTCTATGTGCTTTACAAATGTTTTGCATGGCTTTGTTGTCATTGGTTAGTCATATGTTGTAGCATGAGTCATCCTGTCAGAGCTGACAGCCCCCGCATACTAAACATATCTGTGTTTGCTTGCATAATGTAAAATACCTAATGTGCATTTCAACATTAGGCCTCCATACTTCCATTTTCTGCCCTCCCCTAATTTAGATTTTTTCAATCAAGAACTTTTGTACTATCCCGAAGGAAATAACTGTTGGTGCTGATTGTCGGCTTAACATTGATTTGTAATAATTGCCTGCTTTCTACATGCCCTTCTTCGCATGATGCTTGGCTTACTCCTTTAAGCTTTTCATCCTGTTCAGATGTTCATGTTTTGCTTCCTTTCATTTTAATTGTATACGTTGTGTGTTTTATTTTATATTTAATGGCCAGTTCAACATAAGGGTAAGGGACAATAGTAGAAATGTAGCCTTTTTCCTCCTACTGGCACATAGACAATGATGTTCATCAATATTCATTGTCCCTGAAAAAAATAAAATAAAATGATTGATAAATGGTGGTATAGCATGACAAGAGTGAACACAATTATCACAAATGTAGGTACAATATGCAAGTAGCTAGAGTTGCTTCACTCACCAGCCAAAAAAGCAATGGTAATCTAATGAGTGGCTGGTAGAATGTTATCATTCACTAGACATTGGCCTGTTCAAAAAAAGTTAATCTTGCACCCTGCATGACAATGAGCAGCAAAAGTGTGTAAGTCAATATAAAATAAAATATATATAAAAATTAACTAAATATTACAAAATATAAGCGGAAAAAGTCAAAGAAAGAAACACTACTGTCATTCTGATAAGTGTAGGTGGAACAGAAAAATATAATATAATATAGTTTCTGCATTTCCAACAGTACCTGAAGGCAGCAGTTATATGTGCAAAAGCGGTGAAGACGAGAAGGATTATGGGTAAAGCATGGGGTGAGTTGCATAAGGTGACCGTAGCAACCTATGGCGATGAAGGCTGTATCAGCCCCGGTCCGTGGTTAAAGCCCGCCGGTAACGCTGCCTGCTCCTCGCTGTGATGCAGCGGATCAGCAGCCTCGCGGCTTGTCGGGAGCTCGGCGGCCTCGCGGCGCGCTCTCTCGGGGTCTGCGCCTGGAAGAAGAGCCTGACCTGCAGCGAGAGGCCGGTAGAGCACGGGCAGTGGGCGGGGGTGTGTGTCTGTCCACAGCATCCTTTCACCGGGATGCTCGCAGCACCAGTCCGGAGACTGTCTAGGCGGAGGTTCGTGTTCGCCGGACAGTCACACCGACCGTTCAGCTCACAGGGAGCCGACTGGCCGCAGGGGAGCCCCGCCGGTCACCCCGGTGTCTCCGTGGTCGGCAGCCCGGACCCGATCACATGGATCCGGTGCAAAGTTGTTATGTGTCTCATCTATCTGCAATTTGACTTAGACGTAGACTCTGAGGAGTTCGAAAGTGGAGTAAAGCAGGTAACTACTGATGGTAGGTCTTCTACTTCCTAATACTGCACCAGTATAAACATTGATTCTTCAGGTCTAAATAAAATAATACAAATTGAGAAATTGAAATTAAAACCTCTATAATTAAATTGCATCTGGACAAACTCCATCTGCAGATAAGGAAAAATGAAATAAAAAAAAGTTTGACAAGTAGACATATGTTGTCTTCCAACTATAACCGAGCTACAGTAAAGACAAATACAAGCCTTTCAACTTGCAGTACTGCAGTACATGATTGCATTAAAATAACTATGACATGAGTCACCTTGTTGTTCCTCACCCATCCCAGGCTTTGGTCCACGTCTCCGACATGATGTCCAGGGGCAGCTACCACACGCTAGTGGGAATTGTGTCAAATGAGGTAACAAATGATGCACATACTGTACATGGAGGTAACAAATGATGCACATACTGTACATGGACACACATACTAACTGAACATATAATCAAATGATGTTGTAAAAACAACCCATGTACAATGGAAAGTACAGTATAGAATAATATAGCCTTCATACATGTAGGTCAAAATCCATCACAAAGAGTCCAACAATCAAGTTTGTGATTGTGGATTAATCATACCCATTGTTCTTTTTCTTTTTTTATGATCTATTGTCATTTCAGACAATAGATCATGTGAAAACGAGGTGCAAGTCTCTCACTGATGCTCAGAGACAGAAGCTAGCCATCGCAATGGATGACATTATATTTATGATCCCGGAAGACGTGTCCGTGGTTCTTGATGAAGATGGTGAGTTTGGTGCGATCAGTGTTCCTACGTTACACACACAGGTTGAGAACACTGAATGACAAAAGTGACTTCAGGACACCTGAGTTGCAATATGTATTCCATCAGTGTGGCCTTGAACTGCTCTACTGCCAAGTCAGACTATATTTCTATTCATCAAAAAGTAATAAAACTGTCTATGCTTTCCTTTCAAGGATGGTGTCATGGACTCATGATCTAAGTTTCAGACCGGGAGCATCATTCTCTATTCAGTTCAACCTCTTTTTGTCATTTGTTTTCAACAGTGTTATCCATTTTGTTTCACACTATGCTTGTATGAACCTTCTTGCACCCATTCAGATTGCATTACTAAAGTTTGCTCGTTTAAAAAAAAAAAAAAAAAACTATCAGAGGGTTGACTGTAGAAATTGTGGACATAAATGCCAGTTTTCAGGTGTGATCGTGAAGTATACTGCTTGAAATACTTGATATGCCTTTAAGGGGATGTGTTTCCTACCATCTGTATTGCAAAGTGATCTGCTGTCTGGTCTCTGTTTCCTACAGGTAGAACATACTGCTTCATCGTCATGAGGTTTTGGCACATGTCAACATATGAAGGCCCGGATGACCCCGAGAGTACAAAGATCTTCAAAGTGTCCTCTAGTGAAGATGGCGTACCACAGAAGAGAATAGTGACAGCAGTCTATGAGTAAGCGCTCAGCTTATCGTCTGCACAGACGCCCATATAAGTATTACTTGCAATCAAATCTCCCGTCATTCAGCTTTGACATGTTCAAATCTATTTCATGCCAACTCTTTTAGATCAATAATTTGCTCAGATGTTGGGTGCCAAATCTCTCACAACTTAAAAAAAGTACAAATATTTACTTAGAGACTTAATTATATGTTGGCAAGCCCTCAAAGTTACCTGCAAGCCTTCCATATGGCTTGTCTGTTTTTGTTGGGTGGGTAACAGAGCCACAGAGCTGATGGTAGCGAAGTAAATATTGTTCATATATATGTAGAAAGGATCATTTTGGAGAAATGTTCCAAAGTGTCATGTGTGGGTGGATGAGAGTCTTATCTAATATGTATTGCCTCACTTGGGGAAAGAGTGAAAGTGACATATTTATTTCACTGGAGAAATGCTGCCAAGACACTTTAAAGAAAGAAAAATATTCATAGAAGCACTGATGGGAAGAAAAGTAAATAAAAGCCAGGCCAGAGGTAATCCTATGATCCTATCTGTATTCACTGTAATACTTCTGTAAGTTCACAGTGAGGCATCATGGCATACTGTCCAAATATTAACAGACACCCAGGCCGTCTGTGAAGCTCAACTAAGGAAAGGAGGTCCAAAAAAGTAAATCTCGAACAAGCACAATAATAAATCAGACCAGCTGTGTCCCTCTTTTTTTTTCTATTCAACCAACTGAATCAATTAGATTCTAAATATCCAGCAAAATGCTACACATACCGCATGTGAGCAAACAAAAGTCCTGTCACAATGTCTTGTCTTTTTCCATGCTTGAGCATTGTCTGACATTGGGAAATAGGATCTTATACAACGAGAGAACAAAAACACTCCTTGATGTTTAATAAACTCAATAAAGTGCCACTGCTACGTCTCTCACCCAAGGTGCCAAATATCATGCAAGCATTATTGTGGCTCTTTACTAAAAATTGCTGTCATGTCTTGATGAAGCCATGGGCAAAAAGTAACAACTTGTGAACATTTTACTATTCTGTTTCTGCATTACTTTAGTTGTTCTACTTCTAGTCTAAAGAACCACTGATATGATTCGCCAGAGTAGCAGAAAAGCGAAATAATTTCAGTCAAAGCCTCTTTCCATTTCCATCAGTAATCCTGTTAGTTGCTGGACCACATAGTGTAGCTATTCTACCTAATGCCCACCTATCTAGTTAGCCAGATTCTCTTTCCTACTGTTTCAGGTCTTGAAATCCCCTCTGAGAAAGCCTGTTACACTTCAAATGTTATCCCAGAGGCTAGCAAACAGACCGTTCGGCAGGATAAGGAAGCTATTTTCAGGATCCTTACCTCATTGTTTCTAGGTGAGACTAGAACTTAGTTTGAGTTGAAACTTAGATGGTTTAAAGACCTGCCGTTTGTATGCTTTGTTATGATTCAGGGACTATTTTGAAACAATTATAGTATTTCCCCCTCATTTTGTTAATGTTAATGAGGTCCAGAAGTTGTAAACAAGTGCCATGTGCTAGTAATCTGTACTCTTATTAAAATGTTGGCGATGATTGGCTTCAAAATGCTTTGGGAAACGTTGAGTATTCGAAACAGTTGGTCTAAACGGAGTAGTTGTGTAAATCTGTGTATTACTTCAGTACTGTTTACACTGAGTTTAGGATGCTCTTCTGAATTTCCAGTATCTGATTTTAACCAGTCAGTGATCAGAGATCATGTTAAACATGTCTTCCCCTTTACTTCCAGATTCAAACGAGAGCTGACAAAGAGAGCCGATCCTGACTGGAAGGTCACAACCATTTGGCATTGGCACTGGAAACTGGCGGAGTGATGTAAATTAAAGTGGCAAGGACATTTGTCAGTTATCAGGGAAGAAGTGATGGCTGAATGTATCTAGCAGCAGATTGAAGAACTGTGAATCAGGATCACGGGACCCAGGGCCGTTACAGTGAAGCTGAAGACCTCCAAACTGTACAGATGAGTCCACCTTACTACTTGAACATCGTCCTCAGACCTTCAGATGCCTTTAATGCCCACCTCAAGTGATTTACAACAATAAGAAAAAATGAAAGGTCATAGTCCTTGGACTTCTATACAACTCCATAAATCAGCTGCAGTTTTTAAACAGTATATGACGGGATGGATGATTTTCCTGGGCTTTTAAATGCGTTTGGTCGAAGAAATTGCTTTTGAATGTATTGCCAAATAAATAAAAGCCTTACTCCAGGTCCATGTAACACTTTTTTTCCCACATTGCTCAGCCTTCCTCCGTGAATAGAGTTTCCACATGACCTAAATTAAGTTTGGGACTTTGGTCATGTGACAGAAGTGACCATTTACTATACAAGAACCTGTTGTTACATGACTCAAGCTAAATACTTAATGTGGTCACATGATCACAACTGAGACATCTCCATGACAACTGAGAACACGTTTTCCACTCCACTTTTTACACCAGACCATTCACCCTTTATTTTACACAGGAGTAATGCCTTGACCACAAGTCACAATTCAACTTGTGAGAGCTTATCTACACTGGTAAACTAAGCAAGTGTACAACAACTATTGGGGTGTGAAACTGGTCTATATCTTATGTTTCACTATGTAAACTCCCCCTGGGTTATGAGTATTTAATAAGTGACAAACAGCACCACACTTTGCATTATATAATATTTCAAATAAAGTTACATGCGGTACCACACACAACATGCAAAGCTACCGTATAGGATTTCGTCAAAACTTAAATGATTACAACGCTGTACAGCAACAAATAAAATAAAAGGGCCGTGAAATGCCTTGAAGGTTATGGACTTTCAGAAAGTTAGGGGTATTATGTTAGCTGCTAGTGTATGTTACAGAGAACATATTATGGTACATGTTATGTAAACTTAATTAAAATGTAATACATTAGTGATGTGATACGTTGTGTTAATAAGCACCGGTTAACTAAATGATACCATTTGCATAGAAAACAGGAGGAGGCGTATGTCTGACTCCTGGTACATGTTTTTTGGCGAGCCTGTTGACTGTTCCAGCGACTCCTTTAAGGATCGATAAGAGATCAAAACATACACCAAGTTAAATTGTTGTACTGCATCGCTGCAAGCAAGAGTGACAAATTCTCCCAGAAAATTCCCCACCAGTTGAAATAACTCAAAGGCAGCCTGTGTCTGGGCCCACGGCCATTGCCAGAAATATGTCAATTGTCAAAACCATCACGTCTGACAGGTTTGTGAATGCTGCGTGTCATCCCATTTTGTTAAAGCTTGCTGCAATATTATTTATGTTGACAACATATCTGACAAACAGAGAGGATTCTGTCATTAGCGGCTGTTAATTCATGCATAATGAAATACGCAGAGGATTATTCTAATTCTCCTGCATAGTAATATGTGGTCTGTGGAAGTTTGCGTGGGGGTTTTTTGGTTCCAGTGGAGCATCTCCCAGAGTCATAATGAGATTAAATGAGTGCGGTTAGCTTAACACATGTCAATATGCTCATGGATATGGTGAGAGCACATTAAACAATTTACCTCGCCTGTGCATCACTCAGTTTAATGGAAATTAACGAGAAAACAAAAACAAGTGATGAATATACAAAAAGCTAATGGTTTTTTTATTAGTTATTTGACTGTTTTGTAATCTTCAGACATGTGCATCAGTCTAGGCTGCCTGCCAACCTGATTCATTAATCTGGTTAGCGAAACAGATTGCAAACAATTCCTTGTATCTCTTTGAAAGTGTGTGTGTGTCTGTTTGAATGTCTGCACGTGTCTCAGCTCCAAGACGCCATCAATTAATTGTGCTATCTCTATCAGACTCACATTTTATGGTTGATTAATAATTAACAAGACAGAATATGCCAGAAAATTGAAACTAATACTCTGATAGAAAAGAATGATAACCTACCTCTCATTATTTACTCAGTATCTATTGTTAAGTCCAGAGCAATGAATGAAAGATTACCACCGTGTCACAGCAGCTTAGGTATACCAACAAAATAATGCCTTTTTTTACTTCCAACTAAGAAAAGATGAAATGTTGACATGACAAATGAGACGTTTCTTTGCATGAAATTCTATTTGTCACTTTAATTGAGACACTGATTTTCAATAAACAGACATGTAATAGGAAAAACATTTATTTTGTTTGCTGACATGTTTATCTCTGAATTTGTAATGTTATTAAATACTTTGTGAGATGACTTGTGAATTCTTGGACAGCCAGAAAAATGCCTTGTTGATTTGCTATGAAGCAAGATGCAATTAAATCAAAAATAAATTAAAAACACTTCAAGGCTAAATATTTTTGATTAGATTGTTTCTTAAGCATTGGTGTGTTTACATTACAAGAACTTTTTTATGCCATACAGTGTCATGTGTTTGAATCTTTTTAATGTATTTTGACAGGAAACCGCTACTACAATTCAGGCCGAAACAAAGACAGTTTAAATCAAACAAGTAAAGACTAAGACTTCAACACAATCTGTGATTTCAAAACCAGGAGTGGACTTTTAACTTTAATCATCATTACAGTGTAATTTTTTGGGGTTGAAAATATGAACCTTATTGTTATTAGAATGATTTGTACTTAAGATTAAAACCCACCCATATTCCTGATGGGTATACGTTTATTTATGGGTGTAGAATATGCTCAATGATGCATTATTGACTGAAAGCTGTATGTTAAACTGCATCAAACACATGTTAGCGATGAGGAAAGACTGCTGGTAAGCTAGAGTATTATATTGCTTTTATTTCCTTGAGTGTGTTACGGAAAACCTCAACACAAACCTCCCCGTCCTGATGCTTCATAGAAGCCAGCTTCCAGGCTTCCTCGAACGTCTCCTCGGACACATCAACACCCACATTCCTGAAGATCTCTGCAATCTGTGACGAGGGGGATGAGAGAATTGCCATTAAAAACCTTTTATTTTACTAAAGAAATTATATATACAGTACAAGTTATACCTGAAAGATTTATGTATTTTTGTTTTTCCATTGTCATTTTAGATTATATAACTACACTGCAGCAACTGGAGATTAATAATGACCAATCTTAGTATAAACCATTGAACCACAATCACATATTAATAACACTATAATTATTTATTTTATTTTTTGCTTTTGTAGGCCTAGAAAAAGCAATTTGCCACGACATGGATTGCATTGGGGCTTCTCCTTGGAGTCCATCACACGCTTTACTCACAGTTTATTTTTAAGTACAGTATAGTGCCTACCTCCTTCTTGGTGCGAGGTAAGAAGAAGTGTTTCTCGTGAACACCCTGAAGGGCATGGACTGATGGATGCAGAAGATCTCCAGCTGTGGATGAATCACCGTAGTTGTTGGTGTCACTGACTCTCTTTATGCGTGGCGCTGGAAGGTCGGCTCGCACAGACGGGACCCCATAGGTGCGGCTATCTTTGTAAAGAGAGACCACATGATGAGCATGGTTTATGAGGATATGGGAAAATATGAATAAGTACATTTTTGCGCTTGTAAAACCGTTGCATATTAATACAAATGTCATCAAACAAGTATTTTTAGCAATAAAATGAATGCATGAGTGCACCAGAAAACACTTAAGCAATTTCAAGTTAATATGAGTATGACTGTTATTAGACAGTACGACGATATAATGTGGTGAGACTTTACATACAAGAATACATTTAATAAGTTAACTTACAATATTTATGTCCTACACAAATGCAAATTCAATTGGGTCATGCTTGTTGAAAATATCTGCATGTAAGGGAGAGAATCTGCTTATTGCAGTTCTTGGTTGTTTCACCTCATCTATACTAAGCACATTTTGATCTCGAATATGTTTTGTTGTTATCCACAATTCTCACCTGCTGGGTATCAATAGACTCAAATACTGTTAGCATTATACTGTTAGTTACTACAGCCATTTTGTCTTTTATTTTCTTCAGTCCACATCCCACATGTAGCACTGTGTGATAATGCGTAAGCTCCTCTAGCTATCGTTCACCACACATCTCTATTTCTGACTTACTTGATGTGCATGGATCCCTGACAGACCCGATAAGGTTGGAGGAGGTCATGAAGTGGTCTGGGGCGGCCTTGGGTCTCCTGAGGGTCCTGAGGGTCTTCAGTGAGCAGCCTGGCTTAAAGGGCTCCAGGTCCTCAGGCTTAACGAGGGCCTGCGAGGCAGGAAGCTGTTCCGACTCTGACAAAGGCTTCCTCTCCATGTCAGCTGGAAGGGTGCTGGTCTGACACTCTGCGGGAGACAAATTAAATAGGAAACGATTTAGAAAATGAGCCTCCACATGTAACCTCTGCATCATCCATTAATCCATTAACTGTAACCGCTTATCCTATTCAGGGTTGCATGGGGGCTGGAGCCAATCCCAGCAGACATTGGGCGAAGGAGGGGTGAGACAGATAACATACACACTCATATTTACACCTACGGAAAATTTAGAATCAACAATTAACCTGAGCTGCATGTCTTTAAATTGTGGGAGGAATCTGGAGAACCCAGAGGAAACCCACGCCAATACAAGGAGAACACACAGAGAAGGGCCCAAGCCAGCTAGCAGTTTTGAATCTGAAACCCTCATTCTGAGAGGTGGCAGTGCTAATCATTGCACCTCGCATCGCATCCTTATTCAAAATACTGATAGCCTAACTGGTTCACTTTTACTTCTATGACTTGAAAACTTAGGTTTATAAGTATTTTACTTCCACATTCTCACGTTATAGTTTTTGTAGTCTGAAATATCCTAACTGCTTTTTTAATTCAGTGCCTTAGAACTGTGCATGGGAAATTATTGCAGTAAAATGTTCAGGTGAAGCAGAGCGGTTCTAGGAAAGGATATTTTGTAGGCTACCTTGACTGGATAGCATCTTAGTAAATACATCTATACATTACAGTGCATTTTACTGACCATTTGTGATAATGCATTGCTCTCGACGGTTGATGGGCATCTTGTCCTTCCAGTTGAGGAAGTTGGAAAACTCCAGGAAGTTGATTAGTCCGTCCTTGTCTGTGTCGCAGTAGTCCATGAGGGCATCCAGAACCTGTCTGCTCACATGTAGCTGGAACTGATGGCACACTGCCTGCAGGTCCTCTTTGTCAATCATTCCCTTGCCTGCCTGGAGAAGTACATGAACGAAAAGGCTACAACTACAGGATGTTTGACAAGAGTGAGACCAAGATAAGATAGGTAGTAGCATTGTTACTTTATCACGTGTCCAAACAACA